ATCGCGACCAGGACGCCGCATTGACGCTCGTCATCGAGCTCCATCCCGCTGAGCCGGCGCCAGCCAGTGGCGGCCTGTACGTGCAGGATGGACGCGATCAGTCTGCCCGCAGGTACACGGGAATGCTGGCCGGCGATGCGGTTGCGCACACGTATGAGCTGCTGCACGGTGTCTCTCTCTCGTGCGAGCCATCGAGTCCAGGCTGTGAGCGCTACTCTCTCATCATTTGGTTCCAGGCCAGCACTGAGCAGTGCGCCACAGGACGTCCAGCTTGGGTTCACGACCGAAAGCTTCAGCTGGAAGCGAATCTGGGGGACTTCCTCGAGGCAGCGCGCAGTAAAATTGGAGCAGACGGAGCAGACCAGGTGGATGAGGCGACGGCGCGACGTGTCTTGGCGGCGCACATTTCTGAGAACGGCCGTTTGACCAGCGCGGCTTTTGCCGCCGCCCTAGCGGCGCTGCAACAGTCGGTTGGTATGGACCATACCGCTCGTGAAGCAAAGATTGAGGACAATCTCCAAAGGTTCCTAGACGCCGTGCGTGTGGCACTCAAGCGTAGCGACGTGCCACCAGCTGCTGCACGCCGTGCGATGCAAGCGCACTCCAACGATGAAGGCGACTTTGCAGACTCCAATGGCGTCGTTGACACCAAGGCGCTGGTAGAAGCCTTTGCCGCCGTGCAGGCAGAGCTGGACGATGCGCCAACTGCTGGTCGACGCAACAACCAGGCGTGAAGCCGCAGTGTATATACTAAGGTCGCGGGGGCGGGGTGCCGTTTCCCGTATCTGCCCGAAAGTGGCACACGCAAGGCCGACGCACGACCCCACGAGTCGACGCACAAGGTCAGTGCGGTGGACACGCCTTACGCGCACGTGACGGCTGTACAGCCGCAGAGTGTGGACGGGAGCTTCGTGTTTGTCTCCTCTGTTAGCTCTCCACTGTGTGACGTGAGGATTAGCTGTGTGCGGTGTTTATCCTGTGTTTTACGAGAGGCGCGCCCGCGCGGGGCGCGGCGGCTTGGCTTGGTTTTAGATCGCAGCCCAACACCTGTGGCGTGTGGGTGTGCGGGGTGTGCCATGAGCTGCGCTGTGTCGTGTGTGGTGCCGCTGCTGGCTGGTCTGGTGGTGCATGTGTGTGCATGACAAAGCTTCGCTTTACGACCTATGACTCGCCCTTCGCCAGGCTGGCATCTCTCGGAAGTCGGCGCATGGCGGGCGCGGGGCGGCGGCACTCCTGACATGTCGGCATCTCTGACAAGTCGGCGCATGTCGCGGGCAAGCTGAATCTTCTCCGGAAGCGCTCATTGGCCGTCGTCAGAGAAGAAGCCGGACGTCAGCCACTCCCTTTCCCACTCTGCTACTGGTCCTTCCCCGGGCGAGGGCTGCCATCCGGGTATGCGAAGGCGTATTTCCCTCTCGGTTTGCTGTGCTCTCTTTCGCCGTGTAGTAAAATTGGCGGACAAGTGCCGCCCTAGCGTCCTTGAAGATGGAGTCGACTCGGGCGTCCGGCGTCGCGTCGTGATGTTCCTCTGTGCCGGTTGGGGTTTATGCATGTCTTTCATCTGACATGCGACGCACCCAAGCGCTGCCGTGTCGCGGACGACGACTCTTAGGCGCCCGACCTCGCGGCTGTTCGAAAAGAATTTGTCTTCGAAAAGAAAGAATTCTACGAATACAAGCCCCTCTCACAGCAGACTGGCACGAACTAGCACCACAAAAGGCACAGCAGACAACGGCCCCTTATGGGCCGTCGAAGAGGCCGTCATACTCCTCCGGCCTCGCCCCCCCTTCCCAACCCTCCCCTGGCTCAGGCTCCTCATCCTCGCGGCGCGCAGTGCGCACCCCGCCCCGCGAAGACGAACCCTTCCGCCGGCGTGCCTCGCGGGACTGCCGCCCGCTGCCGCCGCCCTTCCCCCCCTCCGCTGCCCGCGCCGCCTTCTCCACCGCCCGCGCGGCCGCCTTCGCCTCCTCCGCCGCTAACAGCGCCTCCCTCCGCGTGACCCCTATGGGCCCCTTGCGCATCCAGGAGAGGTCGCGCGAGCGACCTATCCAGGGGTTACCCGGATACGGCGCAACGTAGCCGCTGCGCAGCTCCGAGTAGTCGCCAACGCCCCCCCCCAAATAGCCCTCCAAGCAAGCATCGCAGACCAACTCGCCTAGCTGAGAGATCTCAGAACTCTCGCTCTCCTTCTCCGCCGCCTCCATCTCCTCTCTCGACCAGCCCCCCAGCTCCGACCAGCCCTCACGCAACGCCCGGCGCCACAGCCACGGCTCCACGCCAAACTCGTTGTAAAAGCTCCCAAAGCAATCCTGACACTCGAGGCCTGGGCCTCGAGCGTCCTCCGCGGAGACGGGGTTGTCCGTGCTCGCGCCCGCCCACTCCTCGAGCGTCGCCGCTACGAGCGCCCCGTACGGAGGGTGATTAGCCACGCCTCTGGCAGGCTTTCAATTAATCGGCTGTATTCGTGTTGGTCGCAGGGCGGGTTTGGGTGGCAGCTTCTCCTAAACTCGCGCCAGGCCATTGGCAGGCCGTCCCCGCCAAGGAGGTGCACTACGTGTGTTACCCCGACTTCTGCGAATCGCACCGATCGCTCGTAGACCTCCCGTGCGTCTTCCTCTCTTTCATTGGTCCACCGGCAGAGTTTGGGTTTCGGTTTCTTGTCTCTGGCCAGTCGCTCCCAGTCCGGGCTGTCGAGTACCGCTGCGCCCCACCAGCCCGACAGGTGTGGGTTGTAGAATAGCGGCTCCATTAACACGCGTCCGATCGACCAAAGCCCCCCCACTCGCACTGTCCTCGGTACGCCCGCCCTCGCCTGTCGGTACGTGACTTCAGGTGTGTGGTCTTTCTGTGCGGCGTCCTCACCATCGTACGGTACCAGTCCTCTCAGAGTGCCATGCGTCTTGAGTGCGATGCGCCAGTAGGCGGGCATCGTCTCGGGGAGATTGAGAAAATCGCACGAGGAGTGGAAGAGCCGTCGCCCCATGCGGAGGTGCCCGTATGCTCGATTGACGTAGGACGCCACTATATTCACGCCTTTGTGTGACGACGGCGTGACCAGGCGGCTCACCTGGCGCTGGTATAAGCTGCGTGTGAATATCTCGATGTCCTGGCAGTGTTGTCCGCCCTCGGGTCGCTCTTGGATGAGCGTCTCGCGTTTTACCGCGTGTCGGCGTGCCTGGTGTAGGCCCTCCGCGTTTGCCGGCGCCTCAAAGAAATTCCACGCGTACCGCTGCCATTTCTCGAGCATTTGGGGTAGGTTGGGCGGCGTCTGCGACTGCACCAGGTACGACGCACAGGATTGCACGTGATTACTATATTTCGGCCCCGTCTTGAGCGAGGCATGCCTCGTCCCACCCATCGCTCATACCGCTTCTCCATCTTTGCCGTCACAGTCTCCTCCCACTTGCGGGCTATCCTCTCTGGGGCGCCGAGGAAAATGCCGAGATATCGGATGAGCGGGCTCGTTGTGTTGATGTCGCGTCCCTCCTCCCACCCCTGCGGCCTGCGGCAGGTCGGTCGAGTCCCGGAGCGACCCGCTGAAGAGAGTCCCGCCGTTGCAACTGCCATGTCACGGCCGGTCGGCTGCAGCTCTCGCCTCGCTGGCGGCGCGGTCTGGTGCCGCGGCGCCCAGCTCTCCTGTGGGCTCGCGGCGGCTCGCCGCCGCGGTGCCGAACAATGTGATCAGTCTGGATTCGTCCCGGAGTGCCGCCGGTGCCGCTTCCTCGCCAATTTTTGGCTCGACCAGTTTGTCGACAAAACTGTGCCAGAGCCCCTGCTGCTCGACTGAGCGGCGGAGCCGGCCCGTCGCGGCCGAGAGGCGGTGCGCCGACACCGGGGCTACGGCTCGGGACCGTTTCCAGGCTCTCTCGAGCAACCTCAAATTTTGATGATTTCATGACCGCCACTTTGCTGCTCTCTGACCACAACCTCGCGGCCCGCTGCGCGGCTCTCCGAGCGCGAGAGGAGTCGTCTACGAGGCGGCGGCGAGCGCAGGCGGCGGCGGCGCGGCGGCGCGGCGGCGGATCACGGCGCAGACAACGGCAGGAATCTGCGGCAGGCTGCTGCCTGCTGCTACAGCAGCTGCTGCTGCTGCTGCTGCTCCGCCGCTGCCGATTGTGGACACGATTCCCCCGATCACCCCGCCCGCCCGCTCCGCCCGCCCGCCCGCCTCTCCCCGCTTGCCCGCCCGCCCGCCCGCCCGCCCGCCCGCCCGCCCGCCCGCCCGCCCGACCACCCATTCCCATCACCATCTCACATACCTTCATACAGGCGCTCGAGACCTCCTCTCGCGGCCTACTCGCTGCCTCGAGGGAGGAGGGGAAGACGTAGGGTTGAGCTGGACTCGCCTTTCCTGAGGCCCCTCCCCGAAAGGGCAAGTATTAGACCCATGAAATCCGAGACCCCTCCCCACCGCCCCGACCCCCCCACCCCCTTGCTCCCCTCCCCCCCTCGGGAGGGCCGAACTGAGGCGCCCGAGGGGACCCCGCATTCCCTTCCCCCCTCGGAGGGCCGGACTGAGGCGTCGAGGGCCCCACTCTTTCCTTCGCATAGCGGCCACTCTTCGGATCGCTGGTCGAGCGACCCGGGGGATGCCCCGCGCGCCTGACCCAGGCGCGGAAACGAATCTGCGAGGCGTGGCCGCTCATGCGGCCCGATGGGGAGGAGGGGAAGACGTAGGGCGTGCTTGCGCGCCTTTCTGAGGCCCCTCCAACCCACCCGCGCTAGGTCTCGGGGGACGAAGGGGTCACACCCGACGACCTCGGGAACTAGCCGGGGCAGTCGGAGAAGGGGCAACTCCGTGCACTGACGGTCGGCCGTCAGAAAACACGCCTCCGTGGCTCGGGTTACACCAATCCTCGCTACCCAACGCGGCCAAAGGATATCCACCTCGAGAACGTCGAGAACCACACCTCCGCAGTATCGAATCCAGAGTTCTTCGGTGTTGAGTGCTGGCACCGGTTCCCGGACCCGGACAAGCTTCAGCAAGGCCGCCTGCACCTATGTCCCCCGCAGCCTTAGGCTCAAAATATTTGGTGCTCACGTTCGCGTGGTTCTTGCTTCTGCTCGCCTCCTCTGCCGTTTGCGCCACCCCACTACACGCGGCTGCTCAGCGAGACGACGCCGCTGCCTTGAAGAGGCTGCTCGCGGAAAGCGAAGACGTGGACGTGCTCGACGCACGAGGCTTGAGTCCGCTGCACATCGCCGCCGTGAAAGGGCGCGCAGCAGCTGCGCGACTGCTGCTACAGCACCACGCCTCGGCGACGCGAGCAGACGCCCAGGGCATGGCGCCGCTGCATCTGGCTGCGCTCGGCGGCAGCGCAGAGGTGACTCGCTTGCTGCTGCAGCACGGTGCTTTGCTTGACGCAGTTGAGCCCACGCACGAGAGCACGGCGCTCCACATCTCAGCTGCACGGCCACGCCGTGACTGCGACGTTGCTGGCGTCCTGCTCGAAGGCGGCGCATCGCTCGATCTCAAGGACGGCGAGGGCCGCACGCCCTACCGCATCGCAATGGACGTGGAGAATGCACCGTGCATAGAGCTCTTCCGAGGCTGGCGGTCGAGACCCTCCCATCAGGACCTCGCTGATGTGTGCCCAGCCTGGCAAGGGCAAGTGTTCCAAAACTCATACGCGCACAGTCGTCCGGCGCACGTCTACAGTGCCACAGGACTATTCACTCCGGCCGAGGCGGATTTGATCATCCAGCAAGTCGAGCAGCAGGGAGTAGACACGTCAGCGACGTGCTCGACGGACAACAAGACGGCATATGAGCGCTACCTCCTCAAAGATGGCGTCGTTGAAGACGTGGCCTGGGAGGAGTTGCTTGCGGTGGTCGCTGCGCGCGTGCATGCGTGCGTGCCACCAGTCTTGCACGCCTTCAACTGCAGCAAGTGTGTGCAGTGCACAACCTTGGTTAGACGATACAGACCGGACGAGCGCATGGAGGTACCTGCGCATCGCGACCAGGACGCCGCATTGACGCTCGTCATCGAGCTCCATCCCGCTGAGCCGGCGCCAGCCAGTGGCGGCCTGTACGTGCAGGATGGACGCGATCAGTCTGCCCGCAGGTACACGGGAATGCTGGCCGGCGATGCGGTTGCGCACACGTATGAGCTGCTGCACGGTGTCTCTCTCTCGTGCGAGCCATCGAGTCCAGGCTGTGAGCGCTACTCTCTCATCATTTGGTTCCAGGCCAGCACTGAGCAGTGCGCCACAGGACGTCCAGCTTGGGTTCACGACCGAAAGCTTCAGCTGGAAGCGAATCTGGGGGACTTCCTCGAGGCAGCGCGCAGTAAAATTGGAGCAGACGGAGCAGACCAGGTGGATGAGGCGACGGCGCGACGTGTCTTGGCGGCGCACATTTCTGAGAACGGCCGTTTGACCAGCGCGGCTTTTGCCGCCGCCCTAGCGGCGCTGCAACAGTCGGTTGGTATGGACCATACCGCTCGTGAAGCAAAGATTGAGGACAATCTCCAAAGGTTCCTAGACGCCGTGCGTGTGGCACTCAAGCGTAGCGACGTGCCACCAGCTGCTGCACGCCGTGCGATGCAAGCGCACTCCAACGATGAAGGCGACTTTGCAGACTCCAATGGCGTCGTTGACACCAAGGCGCTGGTAGAAGCCTTTGCCGCCGTGCAGGCAGAGCTGGACGATGCGCCAACTGCTGGTCGACGCAACAACCAGGCGTGAAGCCGCAGTGTATATACTAAGGTCGCGGGGGCGGGGTGCCGTTTCCCGTATCTGCCCGAAAGTGGCACACGCAAGGCCGACGCACGACCCCACGAGTCGACGCACAAGGTCAGTGCGGTGGACACGCCTTACGCGCACGTGACGGCTGTACAGCCGCAGAGTGTGGACGGGAGCTTCGTGTTTGTCTCCTCTGTTAGCTCTCCACTGTGTGACGTGAGGATTAGCTGTGTGCGGTGTTTATCCTGTGTTTTACGAGAGGCGCGCCCGCGCGGGGCGCGGCGGCTTGGCTTGGTTTTAGATCGCAGCCCAACACCTGTGGCGTGTGGGTGTGCGGGGTGTGCCATGAGCTGCGCTGTGTCGTGTGTGGTGCCGCTGCTGGCTGGTCTGGTGGTGCATGTGTGCATGACAAAGCTTCGCTTTACGACCTATGACTCGCCCTTCGCCAGGCTGGCATCTCTCGGAAGTCGGCGCATGGCGGGGCGGCGGCACCGCCATGCGCCTCGCGGCGTCGGCGCGGGAGGACTCCACCACCGAGGGCTACGCGCGACATTGGCGCGAGTTTGAGGGGTGGTGCGACGAGGAGGGCCTCGACCCGCTGCCCGCCACCCCGCAGATGATCTTCGCCTATGTCGGCGCGCTGGCCGAGAAGGGGACGATCTCGCTGCGAGCAGCCTCCAGCCCTACCTCTCGGCCATCAACTCGTACCACGCCGACTACGGCTTCGACAAGCCTGCCCTCGGCCACCTCGTGACCGCGGCGCGCCGGGGCATGGCGCGGGGCCAGGCTCGCTGCGACACGCGAGACACGCGTGTCCCAATGCCGGCGGCTGCGGCGGCGCGTATCCTCCGCGCCACCCTCGCAGCCCTGCCCTCTCTCGCGGCGAGGCAGGGCTCGCGAGGCGCAGCCGCTCGAACCCGCAAGCGGGCGTACGAACCGCGAGCGGCTCGCACTCGTGGCACGCAGGCGTCCGCCAGACGGCGCCGGGGCTAGGCGACCGAAGAGGAACTACGGCAAGAACCGCACACCACCCGCTGACGAGCGCTCGCGGAACTGGTCCGCGGCGCCCGCCAGGGGCGTGCGCGAGACAGGGCTCGGAGCCCTTTTCTGTGAGCAGGGATTCCCTCCCGGCGGGGGTTGTGGCGGAGAGCCGGCATGGGAACCGCCGGCCCCCACCCAGGGGGTGCCCCTGCCAGGCGCCGCAAGCGGTGCCCGACAGGGGCGGGTGCCCCCACCCCGAGGGGTGGGGGCGGGGTCGGGGCCCAAAGTGATTCGGCCTATCGCCTCGGCAAGGTCCTCGGTGCGATTCTCCACGGTGTCGTCGAGCGAAAGCGCGGTAGCCGCGGAGGTGATGACGTCGACATCGGTGGAATCGGCTGGGTCAACGTCAATGTCGATAGCTCTTTCACGCCGGATCCCCTTGTTGTCTCCGATGTGTCGCGCCTGCGCGCTCGGCGTGTATGAAATCCATATCACCCCCTGCTCCACGACTGGGGCTTTAGTCGGCGAGGGCCCGGGGCGCTAGGCGGCAGTTTGTTTTCGGGGGAGTCGGGTGGGTCATCGGCGTAGCTAGAGGCCCCATCACCGATGTCGTCGAGTGGGATGGTTGTACCTCCTCCGTTAATAACCACGTCGTCGCCCACGGTGCTGCTCTCCCCGTCGTCTGCGTCTGTTGGGACAGACTCGTCTTGCCACTCCGGTGCGCCGCAATCCCTCGCGCCGCTCCTGCCAAGGTCAGCTTGCTTATCGACGTAGTCGTTCCACTTATGACCACTGTGCCCCTTGACGTGTCTCCATGTCACTTCGTGCCTCGACGCTAAATGCCGCCACGCTGCTCGAAGATAGCTCGCTAGTTGTGCGTTCTCCCCCGGCGAGATTCTCCCCGTCGCACACGCCATCGCGTACTCGCTGTCCGTTCGGACCACCCCTCGTGAGCCTGCTGATCGTGGTGCCGTGTGGAGTAGTGAGCGAAAAAGCTCCGCAAGCGCTGACAGCTCCGCCGTGTTATTGGTGTGTTTCCGCGCCCCCACGAAAGCGGCGTGTACGGGGCTAGTCACGACGGGGCCGTAGCCTTCGGTCACGAGCATGGCATTCTCGTCGCATATGCCGTCCCCGCCCATGACTACCGCGTACGCCCATCCCGCCCTGCCTCCGTCTTCCGACCCATCAGTGTACGCCGTCCAGTCGGGTGGTTGCTGCTGCTGTGGAGGCGTGGTGCCGTCCCGTCGACAGGGTCGAAGTATAACTCCTGACGCCTCCACCATCAGGGCCGCACTTTAACACGGCAAGCACCGCCCCTATCGCAAGGCTCGACGCTGAGTAGTGCCATCGTGTTGCTTGTGCAATCATTTGCAGCGATGTCGCGGGCAAGCTGAATCTTCTCCGGAAGCGCGCATTGGCCGTCGTCAGAGAAGAAGCCGGACGCGAGCCACTCCCTTTCCCACTCTGCTACTGGTCCTTCCCCGGGCGAGGGCTGCCATCCGGGTATGCGCGTATTTCCCTCTCGGTTTGCTGTGCTCTCTTCGCCGTGTAGTAAAATTGGCGGACAAGCAAGTGCCGCCCTAGCGTCCTTGAAGATGGAGTCGACTCGGGCGTCCGGCGTCGCGTCGTGTTCCTCTGTGCCGGTTGGGGTTTATGCATGTCTTTCATCTGACATGCGACGCACCCAAGCGCTGCCGTGTCGCGGACGACGACTCTTAGGCGCCCGAGCTCGACCTCGCGGCTGTTCGATCTTGTGGGTGTGTGTGTTTTGCTGCCGCCGCCGCCGCGCCGCGGGCCACGCACGCAACGACTAGGCCGCGCGCTTTGCTGCGAATGAGCCAGCCGGACTGCACGCAGCTGAGCCAGCCGGACTGCACGCAGCTGAGCCAGTGCACCCAGCGGTGCGCCGATGACGACGACGACTCAGAGGGCGACGGCGGCGGCGGCGACGACGTGGCGCCCGCTCGGCTGGTGCGTCTCGTGGACGGCTCGCCTGGAACCGCGGTGACCGTGCCGCCCGAGGGAGAGGGCGCTCTCTCCGTCGGCCGGACGGAGCAGCTTGGCTCGTGCACGCTCCTTTTGGACGACAACGCGGTGTCGAAACGGCACGCCGAGCTCCGCTTCAACCAGGGCTCGCTCGAGCTCCGCGTCACCTCGAGCAACGTTCACGTTTGTCAACGAGTCCGCGCACATCGCGCTCGCCGGCAAGCCGCCGCCGCCGCCCGTCAGCCTCTGCGACGGCGATGTGCTCCGCTTTGGCGGAGGCAGGCAGAGCAGCACCCGCTGCGACAAGTTCATCTTCCGCGTGGACGCGCCACAGTGCAAGCGCGCGGAGGGCACCGTCTGTCTCTCTCCGCTGCCTGCGCGCGCGTCCTCCGCCGCCTCCTCCGCCTCGGCTGGCGAGACGCCGCTCGCGGAGTGGTTCTGGCAGATCGGCAAAGGCGCGTCGCGCGCCTGGTCGCGCTACGCTCCCCACCAAGAGGCTCTGATCGAGCGCGCCTACCAGCTGGCGGAGGAGAGGGTGCGGCTCGACGGCGAGCGGGTGCTCGACTTGCGGCAGATGAAGCAGGTGAACCTCTAACCCTAACCCTGACCCTCACCCTCACCCTCACCCTAGCCCTAACCCTCACCCTAACCCTAACCCTGGCCCAGGTGCGCGACGACGGCCCCGGCCGCTCCCGCCCTGTGCGGCGCGAGCCGCCTGCAGCGCCATACTCGACTCGTCCGACGAAGCGGAGGCGGGACGCGCGGGGGGCGACGGGCGGCGGCGAGGGCGGCGGCGGCGAGGGCGGCGGCGGCGAGGGCGGCGGCGGCGAGGGTGGCGGCGTGGCGACCGTGCGCGTTCTTCCCAATCTCTCCCCCGCCAAGCGCGCCACCGTCCGCGTCGTGGTGTTGCGGCGCGACAGTGGCGTCGTGCTGACGGCTGGCGAGAGAGTGGCGTCGTGCTGTCGAGCCAGTGAGAGAGCCAGTCACAGCGAGTCGCTCCTGCCTGACTCCAGGCTCGGGCTGCCTCGTCTCGCGCGACGGCCACGTGCTCACGGCGGCGCACCTAGAAAGAAAGAAAGAAAGAAAGAGAACAGGCAGCCCAAGGGAGGGAGGGGAGGACGGCACGCCGCCACCACACAGGGAGTTTAAGGAGAGGAGTGTGGTGCGCTAGCCGTCGCCCACCCTAGGGAGTCTGCCTCTTCCTATAGGCGGCACACCTCTTTGTGAGCGCGCGGTCGGGCGCGCTCTTCCATGGCTTTGCGCCGAGCGAGGTGTTAGTCGCGGTGGGCGTGTATGTCGATGACGCGGCGCCGTCGCGCTGGGCCCACGTGCCACGATCATTGTGCATGTCACATGTCTGTGAGTTGTCTGTGGCGCCCGAGCAGGCGCCGTCGCGCTGGGCGTACTGGGCGGAGCTGCAGACGCCGCTCGAGCGGCTGGTCGAGACATAGCTGAGATACAGCCGAGATACAGCCGAGATACAGCCGAGATACAGCCGAGATGCAGACGAGATGCAGACGAGATGTAGACGAGATGTGCCAAGAGATCGCCGAGGTACAACCGAGGTACAGCTGCAGCCGCTCGAGCGATGCCGTCCCACGCGTTGAGCTCTCGGCCGCTCGAGCGTGGTCGAGCGAGTGCAAGAAGGCTGGGGCAGAGAAGACGCGGCTGCTCGACAGGTCGAGAGGGACGAGAGGCGGCGGCTGCTCGATCTCGCCGTGATCCGGCTGCGAGGCGAGCTCACGATGACGCCCGAATCGTTCGTCGGCGTCGCTGCAAGGTACGCGATCGCTTCCGAGGCGACCGAGGCGCTGCCTCCGTTCCGCAGCGCGCTGAGGCTCGGAACGCCCTCCGCCGTGACAAGCGGCAGCGCTGTAGCCGAGAGGTGGCCGAGATGCAGCCGCCTTCCTCGCCGGTCCTTCTCGGCGCCCTCCCGGACCCTTCTCGGAACCTTCCCGACCTTTCCCGGAGCCGTCCCTGCAGGCAGCGCGCTGCTCTGCTCGGAACCCCTCTCGGACCCTTCCCGGAACTGTCCCCGCAGGCAGCGCGCTGCTCGTGCTCGGTTGGCCGTCGCCGCACGGCCAGACGTCCATCTTCGTCGACAGCACCCATGAGTGCCTCTCCCGCGAGGGGCAGCTGCTGCACACGCGCGCCTTCATCCACGCGGGATCGAGCGGCGGGCCGGCGCTCACGCCCTCGCTGCACGTCGTCGGCGTGGTGAGCCACAACCCGCGCTCGTCCGACGACACCATCCGCCCGCCAGAGGCGGGCGGCGAGGTGCACTACCTCGCGTGCATCCGCTCGACCGAGCGCATCGGGCTGATCGCGCCCGCCGCCACCGACCTCATCAGCTGCCGCCGCGCCCCCGCCGTCCTGCCACCGCCGCCGCCGGCCGCTGTGCCATCGCTCCCAAAACTAGCGTGAGGGTTGCCAGTGTTTGGCGAGGAGTATATGTGCTGCGAAGTTTCGTGTGGCAAAAATTGCGTGCTCGACACCCGCGGATTGTAGTTTGTGTGCCGTCTCTCGATCTCGTGTGCCGCACCGCGCACGCGCCGCAGTGACACGTAGGCGACGGAGACGCGCTCGCCAAGTTTCCCGCCAGAGGATGCTCGCAACCCCCCACAGGGCTCCGAGCCACTGGTGTGGCACCTTCTTGTCGTCGGCGTGTCCCTATCACGACGAGGGCCGCCGCTACTCGTGCCATCTCGCGCATGCGGCACAGGCGGCCCATAATGCCTCACCGTACGCCAAATGCCTCCCCATTGAACGCCTGTGCCGCAGATGCAAACATGGTAGCACTGTGTGACTGTGCACCGGCAAGGCGACGGACTTAAGCACTCATCGGCGCAGGCACCGACGCGTGCTCGACGCTCGCCATACGTCTTCTTGCCGCGAATCTTCTTCTGATAAAAGTGGAGAATATTTGCGCTTGCTAAGAGCGAGGCAACATCCTTCCTGGCAAATTAGTTTTTCACCTTGCCAACCGCAGTCCAAGTGCTCCAAGGCCAAGGACCGATATATAGGTAGTGGAGGTAGTCGTCTCAGTATAGTGACCTGTCCGCGTCGTGGGGGCGGTCCTGTCTGAGTTAGGGGGGGCGGGGGCGGGGGAGAAGGAGAGGAGAGTCGTTGAGCCTTGGCACCAGCCGGGCAGTTGGTTTGGCCTTGGCACATCAGCCGGGTGTGATGTTGATCTGAGGGAGGGTGTAGAGGATGTAGAGTGTAGAGCGCTGTAGAGCTGTAGAGCTGTAGAGCGCTGTAGAGCTGTAGAGCTCTACATCCGCCGCGTGACTGCCTGCGTTGTAGAGCGATGTAGAGGCGCTCTACAACGTGAAATCTCTACAACAAACTCTACATCATGTGCTTATCACAGTAGCCCGAGGACGGGGGGGGGGCGGGCCTCACCCGGGACTCACCCCGAGACCCCACCCCGGGACGCGCCGGCTGCGGGTGAGGCCCCACCCCCGGGGCAGTGAGGGGCAGGGGCGGGGCGGAGCTCCTCAGAGTGAGGCGCCCCGGGTGCCCCCACCCCCCGACCCGCCCATTCAGCTTTGCTCTTTCGTCCGGAGCGCGCCTTTCAGGGGGTAGAATTCTTAATCTTTTAGGCGTGGCGCTGGTGGGCCGGGGGCGCGCGGTAGCCGGTAGGCGTAGGTACGGGGCCGCGTGCGCGTGGGCTGTGGCCCGCCCGTGGTGCCCCTGCGCCCTGGCTGGGTCGGTCGGGCAGCGAGCTACCCCCCCGGGACAGCGCATCGCGAGTGAGGCCCCGGGGTGGGGCAGGTGAGGGAGGGGGCGGGGACGGCCGGGCCCCGGTGAGCCCCGGGTGAGGCCCGCCCCCCCCCCGTCCTCGGGCTACTGTGATTGGCACATCATAAGCGCGAACGAGGCACGGTCGCTCTCCGACATGAGGCGCGTTGCACTTGCCAGTGCTGCCCTGGCCTTCTGTCTGCCCGCCCAATGGGTGGGAGGTGCCTCTGCTGCTGTGGCATGCCTCACGGCTGCGACTGGCCGGCGCCTCGGCGCGTCAGCTCGGCTCGGCGTAGCGATAGTGGCCAGCGCAACTCGCCTGGACTCAACGCTCAGCCAGGAGCTCCCGCACGCGCTGGCGCGAGTCATGGCGCAGACAACGCGTCTGAATGCTCGCCTCGCCTCGCGCAAATGCGACCGTCCTCGCAGCCGACAGTCCACCGCCTGAAGCACAGCGACGAATGCGGCACCGGCGACGCATGGCAGGCTGGTCATGACGCAGTTGTAGGGTGTTGTGTGTCGTCAGAGTGACTCTCTGTGTGTCAGGGATAGTCAGGGCCGTCCATCAGAGCTCCAGTAAGCTCGGAGACACCCCATTAGCGCGGCTCGACCTCTTTGAGTCACTGCCTTCCCGGCGGTTTGGCTGTAGAGCCTCTACAACAAACTCTACAGCAAAATCGCGCTCTACATCGCTCTACATCTGCATCGCTCTGTCCCGCGCCGGATGTAGAGCTCTACAGCTCTACAGCGCTCTACATCCCTACAGCTCTACAGCGCTCTACACTCTACATCCTCTACACCCTCCCTCAGATGTTGATTTGGCCTTGGCACCAGCCAGCCCTGGCAGGGGCACGCGGGACATGCACAAGCGCCAAAGGGGCGCAGCGTCGACCTCACCCGTCGGCGCAGGTGGGGGGACGGGAGTTCCGTCGGGTTCCCCTGCGCGAGCGCGAGAGTAACCCCGAGAGGGCCAAGATGAGCGGTGCGCGCAGGGGTCGGCGTGGAGGGCGATGAACAAGCCGCGCGGGGCGCCGCCTCACCGTCGCGGGCTCACCGCCTCAAAGTGGCGCAGGGTGAGGCGGCGCTCCGAGCGAGTACGTGAGCCCCGTGACTCCAACCAGGCCCTTCCTTTTTTTTAGCAGGGGTGCCGCTGTGCGGCGCGCGCGCAGAGACTGGCCGCGTGCGTGCCGCGCGCGGCGGTGTCGAAGCAACTCCTCGACAGAGCAGCGCCTCCACATGGCACTTCCCCTCTGCGTCCGTGTACTGGCCCTTGACAGCCTCGACCGTCCCGGTCCCCGTCCGCGGGTCCCACATCCCCACCCTTCCGCCCCTGTCCCCGCCCTCCACGCCCAAAACCGTCTCGCGGGCGCGTGGCAGCGTATTGCCGCAAGCGACGAACGCCCCCATGCGCCCCACCCCCGAGGGGTCCGACGGCACGGCGATGCAGGGCAAGTCCCCACCCAATCACGCCCTGGTAAATGTACAAGTCCGTCCTCGTAGTGCAGTAGTGCTGTGCTCGCAGTGAAACTCGTGCTCCACCGCGCCGCGCCCCATGCACTTTTTGAATGCCGTGGGGCTCCTGCCCAGTGTCTGTCCGGGTGTGGAGGCGCGGCGGGACATCGCGAGAAAAAAATCGCGCGCGGCTTTTCTCGCCTCTCGCAGAGAACGCGCTGGGGCCGGGACACTCAAGCGGAGAGACGAACAACGCGCTCTGCTCCCCGGCCCTCCCCCCCGGCCCACCACGGGACACCCGCCGCCGGCAGTCCGCATCCGACGAGCCTCGACTCGATACGCGGCGCGGCCACTTTCCGCCCTTCACTTACCCGAACCCAGCCTGGCGCCGGCGCCGGCGGCCAGTGAGGCGCGAAGGCGGCTCGCCTGGCTGAGCTCTGCAGTCGAGGCCATGTGCGAGCTCGTACGGCCGGACAGTCGGGCTGCCTGCGATTTAGGGCGAACTTTCGGGTGCGTCCTGGGCGACAATGCGTCTGCTCGGCGGCCCTACGTGTGGGTCGCCAAGAGCTGCCGCGGGCTCTTCCGCCTCACTCACAACACAGTTACCTGTGACATCGCCTGCGGCGACTACCGCACGACAGGCCAGCGCTGCGAGGCGACGGAGCGCAGTTGCGGCCGAAGCTGCAGCTTGCCTCGGCCACTTGCCTCGCCCCTCACGAGCAGCAGCCGGGATTGCCACGGCCCCAATCTCGTGCTCCCACGGGTCGCAGCCCCTGTGAGCCTGCCCTCCCTGCGGTGCCAGTACTCCCTCTCGCGGTTTGCGCTCTCCACCGAGGCCCCCGCCTGCGCGACGGTCGATGCCCTCGTCAATGCGACCGCAACGGGCCGGTACGACAGCGACGGGCGGTTTGTCACCGACTGTACGATCCCAACCTACGCTTCCCTGCCGCGCGGCGGTCGGTGCGTGCACATCATGGGCGACTCCTACACGCGACACATGCTGCAGACCGTCTCGATGGTCTTGAAGGACAACTTTGTGAGCGGCGGCTTTGAGCGGCCGAACGCGAACTGCCTCTGCGATGGCCAGTTTAGCGAGCTCGAGCCGTGCCGGCGCAACGTCTCGTTCCCCTTTCCGTGCACATCGGTAGAGTACGACTCTCGCCTCACGTGCAGAAGCCGTCGGTGTTCGAACGCGGTCCGAACCAGACGCGGCGGCGAGGCAGCCTTCGTGTGGCTCCAGGGCGGTTTGCACTACCTGCAGGGGCCGTTACCTCGCTCCGGCCGTCCCTCCCTGCGGGCGCCAGTCAAATCGTTTCTCGCCGCCATTCGGACCACGGCTCACCGACATGTGCACGCGAACGATCGCTTCTTCGTGTCCGGCCTTCACTTCCAGACGCCCGCTGCTGACAGAGTCTTCCCGCACCAGCGACGTGCGCTGGCGCAGGAGTTCAACCGGCAGGCCCGGCGAGTCACCGAGGAGGTGGGCGGCAGGTTTGTCGACTTCTCGACGGTCGCCGACGGCGACGAGGCTCGCGGGACGTCCGACGGTGTGCACTACTTGACGTCGGCCAATCTAGTGAAGGCGCGCATCTTCCTCGCGCTGCTGCACATGACGTGATCGTCGTGCCGCCAAGCCCGAGCAGACAGTGACAGATAGACGCAGGTTTGTGACGCGCTATTTACGGTTCCCAGTTGTCTTCAAAATCGGCACACCTGGGTTAAGGCGTCCATGCCATCCACTTTTACACTCTTCAACCGACCGACCCCCACAAGGCTAGTTCCAAATTTCACTCTCGCACACTCGCCGCACACCCGCCGCCCCCGCGCGCGCCCCACCCCGGCCGGGAGAAAGGGGAGTGACAGTTTGGGATGGCAACAGAACGAGTATGTGATAAATAAATCAATAAAACGGGCACGCCAAACGAGGGGTCCTCCACACCGCCGTGGCGTGGCAGACGGTGAACGAGCTAGCGTGCGGGGAGAGCGGCATTGTGCATGGTGCGGAGTGCATTGCCGTTCTTAACGGAGTCGCTTAGGCGGCTCCGGTGGTGAGCCGGTGTGTGTGCCAGTCCGCGCTACTCCGCGCCTTTGTCGTGCCCGTGCTGTGAGAGAGGCGCGTTTCCGAAGAATTCTTTTAGCCTGTCCCGTTCGTGTGTGGTGCAGCGCTTCGCCTCGATGGCCAGCGCTGTGCTGCCGCTCGGTGTGCCCCGCGCCGCCGCACGCGCCCCCGCGCCCCGCCGCCGCACCCTCACAGCGCGGCGCCCTGGCGCGCAGAGCTGATCGACAAATGCATCGGCTCGAGAATATGGATCGTGATGCGTGGCGACAAAGAGCTGGTCGGCACCTTGAGAGGGTTCGACGACTACGTGAACATGGTCTTGGACGACGTGACCGAATAGTGCGCCGCCGCCCCCGGCCCAGCCACGCGCGCCGCGCCCGCGAGCCGTGTGCTCGCGGCGCGTCACATATCACCACGCGCACGCTGATTGCTCGCGCCCCCTCTGTTGCAGTGAGATCACCCCCGAGGGTAAGCGCGTGACGAAGCTCGACCAGATCCTCCTCAACGGCAACAACGTCGCCCTGGTGTGCGGCCACACCCTCTCCCTACCTGCTGGCGAGCCGCGCCCATCGACCCGCCCTGTGCGCTCGCAGTTGGTGCCGGGAGGCAGCCCAAACTACGACTAGGCTTCGGTGCTGTCTGTGGTGCTCGGGACCGTGAAGAGGTGCTCCGCCTCTCGCCACGCTCGGGACTCGACGGCACTGCTCGACTCGAAAATCATGATACAGTCTCGCATTCCACCTACGTTTTCGGCTGGGCGATCGTGGCAGCCATGGGGGGGCAGCCGGTTCACCTGCGTATTCTTGCCCGCGCGCGCAAAACTTTTTGATGGGATCCCAGTGTCACAGTGGTCAGTGTCAACAGACACCCGGCGGGCGCACGTCCACACACACTGTCATTAATACATTGGCTAGTTCCATTTCACTGTGGCTGCAGCTCGCGTTACAGTGTGTGTACAAAACCTTGATATTTGTGACCATTTGCGCCATTTGGAACATCTCCAGGACGCGCAGAGGCAGCTGCGACCCCGCCGAGCGGACGGCGGTACTCGGCAGGTGGTGCGGAGTACCGCCGTCCACTCAGCGGGGTCGCAGCTGCCCGTCTCGTGCGCGTCCTGGGGAGATGTTCCAAATTGTCGCCGCCGCGGCCGGAGACGACTCGACGCCGCTGAGATCGGAGATCAAGCTCTGACAGGTCGCACGTCGCTCCTTTGACGCCGACGTGACTTGCCCGTGCAGACCATATCAGGACACGGTCTGGACGCGCTCGGTACGACGCCTGCGACCCGTCTTGGGTCAGGTGGCACGACGCTCATCGCGCCTGCCAGCGCTGCCGTGCAGGCTGCCACGACGAGGTCGAGCACGCTTCTATACGCTCGTCCAGCCTTCCTTTCCATCCCATTAGGCAGCCTGGGAACGGTGGCGGTCAGAGGCAAAGCCTACAAGGGGTGGTGGTGGAACCACATGTCACGGCTACTGCCGGCTCGACCCCACGACAGCCTCCGAAGGCTGACTTTGAGGCACCATCATCGGACGATGTCGACGAGTTGGGTCGCTCTCGCGGTAGCCAGATGACCTCGACGTCCGGGGGCCTGCCCGTCGTGCCACCGACCAGAAAAAGAATGTGGGCGCGGGCGATACGGGCGCCGCTAGGCTCAACGAGGAAATGCCGTGCCCCGTTTAAAGAGCTCGTAGCGCGCTCGATTTTGATGAGAATTTGATGAGAAATATCTCAATTTCTTGTTTACACCCGAGCTATGCCCCACGACCTGAGCCGGAGCCTGCGCAGAACCTGTGCTCCTCCCATACGATCGTATCAGGCTATGCTCCTGTCACGCGCTGGCTGGCCTGTGGTCGCCGTCCTATTTTACACGAGCACACGAACCATCAAGGTTGTTTTATGCCCCGCTCCCCCCCCCCCCGCCAGCGGCTTGCAGCTCGGCACGTCCATCGCCCTCGACGCGTTCGTCTTCTACTTCCGGGGAGCGACGCCTAGCGCACCTGCCGCAAGTGCCCCGGGCGCGAGTGCGGGGCGCCCTGCGCCGTTCGATGCGGCGAGATGGAGGGGGTACGTGCAGCTGCACGCCGAGGAAAAGAAAACCCACCGGCTTGAAGAAAGCATCTGCTACAAGCACGCAGTCTCTCTGTTCATAACTGATCGTGTATAAAAATGATGTTGCTAAGCACAGGAAAGTTCGTAATCCCGGAAGTCTGCATCATGTGTGTGTCTCGCGCCTTGCGGGGGGGGGGAGCGGAAAGGAGGAACCTCTTCCCAAGAGCACCACTCTCTTGGAGCGCCGCCACTGCCACTCAGAGCGCTGCAAGCAGCGCCGGGCAATGACGGCTTACCGCCCCCCCAGCCCCCCCTCGGCACACCCCGGCAGCCAATGTGTGACGGCTCGAACCCGCTAAGCCATCCCGCAAGCGGAATGGCCCGCCACTCGAACCCGCAAGCGGGCGTACGAACCGCGAGCGGCTCGCACTCGTGGCACGCAGGCGTCCGCCAGACGGCGCCGGGGCTAGGCGACCGAAGAGGAACTACGGCAAGAACCGCACACCACCCGCTGACGAGCGCTCGCAGAACAGGTTCGCGGCGCCCGCCAGGGGCGTGCGCGAGACAGGGCTCGGAGCCCTTTTCTGTGAGCAGGGATTCCCTCACGGCGGGGGTTGTGGCGGAGAGCCGTCATGGGAATCGCCGGCCCCCACCCAGGGGGTGCCCCTGCCAGGCGCCGCAAGCGGTGCCCGACTGGGCCGCCTGTGCCGCATGCGCGAGATGGCACGAGTAGCGGCGGCCCTCGTCGTGATAGGGACACGCCGACGACAAGAAGGTGCCACACCAGTGGCTCGGAGCCCTGTGGGGGGTTGCGAGCATCCTCTGGCGGGAAACTTGGCGAGCGCGTCTCCGTCGCCTACGTGTCTCGAGGTCTCGCCGAGCGGTGGCTCAGGGCTCCGCCGGCGGCAAGGATTTCCTTTTCATCTCCAGTGTGTGGGCTGTGGAGCACGTCCTCTACTCCGCTCTCCGTATTGGATCGCAGGGCTCCGGCTCTGAGGGCTGTCATCTTGCGGCGGCGGCGGCGGCGCGGGGGGGGGGGGGGGGCGGCAGGCCACAGAGAGAGGTCTGCGGCTTAGCTGCGGGCCGTGCAGATTCAGTTCAGCCAAACCGGCCGCGAGCAGTCGTTGCCTAGTTAGCGTTGCCTAGTTAGCGCATAGACAGTCGTTGCCATAGCGCTCGTATACGTCAAGCACATGCACATGCACATGTGCATGTCGTAGCGGGTCGGAGCAGCAGCCCTTCTTCATCCAGCTTTTGATTTCTTGTCCTCCAATGCCAGAGCGTGCCTAAGGTTCAGTGTGTGTCGAGCATTGCGCGCTGCAATGCGCGCCTGTGCGCGCATGGCTAGTGCCATTTCACTCTGACACGCTAATCTTGAAAACGTCTCCAACGGAGCTCCGTGTTGCTTCCAGCGCCCTCCCCCGCGCTCCCTGCGGCCATGGCCGATGCTCCTAGGAAGAGAGGTCATCTGGCTACCGCGAGAGCGACCCAACTCGTCGACATCGTCCGATGATGGTGCCTCAAAGTCAGCCTTCGGAGGCTGTCGTGGGGTCGAGCCGGCAGTAGCCGTGACATGTGGTTCCACCACCCCTCGTAGGCTTTGCCTCTGACCGCCACCATTCCCAGGCTGCCTAATGGGATGGAAAGGAAGGCTCGGCCAGCGTATAGAAGCGTGCTCGACCTCGTCGTGGCAACCTGTACGGCAGCGCTGGTAGGCGCGATGAGCGTCGTGCCACCTGACCCGAGACGGGTCGCAGGCGTCGTGCCGAGCGCGTCGAGACCGTGTCCTGATGTGATATGTACGGGCAAGTCACGTCGGCGTCCCAAAGGAGCGACGTGCGACCTGTCAGAGCTTGCTCTCCGATCTCAGCGGTGTCGAGTCGTCTCCGGCGGCGACAATTTTGTCCCTCCCCAGGACGCGCAGAGGCAGCTGCGACCCCGCCAAGTGGACGGGGGCACTCCGCGCCACCTGCCGAGTTCCCCCGTCCACTCGGCGCGGTCACAGCTCCACCGTGAAGGCACCGAGGGGAAAAATGGCGCAAATGGTCAAATCAAGGTTTTTTAACGCGTTGCTGTGCCACAGTGAAATGGCACTAGCCCATCGCAAGATACAAGAACAAGTACTTGACTAATTCTGCAACTCCCTTGCTATTTTGAGACGCTCTTCGCGGCACGCGGGTGTACGGTTTCCACTGCGGCGCGTGCGCGGTGCGGCACACGAGATCGAGAGACGGCACACAAACTATACAATCCGCGGGTGTCGAGCACGCAATTTTTGCCACACGAAACTTCGCAGCACATATACTCCTCGCCAAACACTGGCAACCCTCACGCTAGTTTTGGGAGCGATGGCACAGCGGCCGGCGGCGGCGGTGGCAGGACGGCGGGGGCGCGGCGGCAGCTGATGAGGTCGGTGGCGGCGGGCGCGATCAGCCCGATGCGCTCGGTCGAGCGGATGCACGCGAGGTAGTGCACCTCGCCGCCCGCCTCTGGCGGGCGGATGGTGTCGTCGGACGAGCGCGGGTTGTGGCTCACCACGCCGACGACGTGCAGCGAGGGCGTGAGCGCCGGCCCGCCGCTGGAGCCAGCGTGGATGAAGGCGCGCGTGTGCAGCAGCTGCCCCTCGCGGGAGAGGCACTCATGGGTGCTGTCGACGAAGATGGACGTCTGGCCGTGCGGCGACGGCCAACCGAGCACGAGCAGCGCGCTGCCTGCGGGGAAAGTTCCGGGAAGGGTCCGAGAGGGGTTCCGAGCAGAGCAGCGCGCTGCCTGCAGGGACGGCTCCGGGAAAGGTCGGGAAGGTTCCGAGAAGGGTCAGGGAGGGCGCCGAGAAGGACCGGCGAGGAAGGCGGCTGCATCTCGGCCACCTCTCGGCTACAGCGCTGCCGCTTGTCACGGCGGAGGGCGTTCCGAGCCTCAGCGCGCTGCGGAACGGAGGCAGCGCCTCGGTCGCCTCGGAAGCGATCGCGTACCTTGCAGCGACGCCGACGAACGATTCGGGCGTCATCGTGAGCTCGCCTCGCAGCCGGATCACGGCGAGATCGAGCAGCCGCCGCCTCTCGTCCCTCTCGACCTGTCGAGCAGCCGCGTCTTCTCTGCCCCAGCCTTCTTGCACTCGCTCGACCACGCTCGAGCGGCCGAGAGCTCAACGCGTGGGACGGCATCGCTCGAGCGGCTGCAGCTGTACCTCGGTTGTACCTCGGCGATCTCTTGGCACCTCTCGTCTACATCTCGTCTACATCTCGTCTGCATCTCGTCTGCATCTCGGCTGTATCTCGGCTGTATCTCGGCTGTATCTCAGCTATGTCTCGACCAGCCGCTCGAGCGGCGTCTGCAGCTCCGCCCAGTACGCCCAGCGCGACGGCGCCTGCTCGGGCGCCACAGACAACTCACAGACATGTGACATGCACAATGATCGTGGCACGTGGGCCCAGCGCGACGGCGCCGCGTCATCGACATACACGCCCACCGCGACTAACACCTCGCTCGGCGCAAAGCCATGGAAGAGCGCGCCCGACCGCGCGCTCACAAAGAGGTGTGCCGCCTATAGGAAGAGGCAGACTCCCCAGGGTGGGCGACGGCTAGCGCACCACACTCCTCTCCTTAAACTCCCTGTGTGGTGGCGGCGTGCCGTCCTCCCCTCCCTCCCTTGGGCTGCCTGTTCTCTTTCTTCCTTTCTTTCTTTCTAGGTGCGCCGCCGTGAGCACGTGGCCGTCGCGCGAGACGAGGCAGCCCGAGCCTGGAGTCAGGCAGGAGCGACTCACTGCGACTGGCTCTCTCACTGGCTCGGCGGGGCCGAGGCGGCCCGAGCCAGCCGTCAGCACGACGCCACTGTCGCGCCGCACCACCACGACGCGGACGGTGGCGCGCTTGGCGGGGGAGAGATTGGGAAGAACGCGCACGGTCGCCACGCCGCCACCCTCGCCGCCGCCGCCCTCGCCGCCGCC